TGAAGAAGCATCTTAATCTGAGTCTTAGTTTTGTTATCTGTAAAATAATCTCTGACGTTCCTTCCAACTCTCCCATCCTATTAGCAAGAGCTTTAGTTTGAAACGAGGCAATTAGGAAGGAACAGGTGTAGCTTTGAAGGCTTAGTAATATGATTTAAATGACATTCAAGGAAGATTCTCAGTGTCAAATTAGATGAATGAGAGTACAGAAGAGGTTAAGCGATGGAGAAACTGGCCAAGGACCTGCAATGTAGTTAATCCTGATGGCTGGCCTGGGACAAGGAAGATAAATAAAGACGCTGACCTGATAAATATCAGACAGAGAGGTGAAGGGATTTAGAAAAACAACCTAACTCAGGAATAAGGCTGTGGAATGGAGAGGGGACAGATGCCACTGGGTTGTGATGTCAGAATGTGGGGAGCTGCAGTCATTTGCCATGAATGATAAAAGAGAAGGCATAGTAATCGGAAGAGTGGTAGAGCCTGTGACAGACTTTTAACATAATGCCAGTGTTGTGCAGAGTTTCTCCCAGAGAGCATCTGGAAGAAAAAGAAAGCTCTCTCCAAGTACCACACAGTTGTGGTTTTCATGACTTTTCAGATTTCTGATGCAATGTCTTGCCTTGATCCCTTGCATGTGGATATTTCAGGTTCCTGAGTGGTCACTGACCCAGGTTTCCTCACCACCCTTTCAGGTTCCAATGAGCTGACCCCATGATTCATTGTTCCCCATGGGGTCAGCTCAGCCCTGTCAAGTCAAGGAGCTTGAGAAAGGTCCGGAGATGATAGTAAGAGGCCTAAAGAATAAGGCCCTTCTCTGAAGTCCTCTAGCTAGAGGTTACTGTGGAGTGGGGAGACCCCAGCCTTGCAGTGGGATTGGCTCCCTGCATGAGGTGGTCTGTGGATGGTGCAAGAAAGGGCAGAAGCTCAAAGGGTGGAGCAGAAGCAGCTGTGGATCCTGGAGCAGGGATGGAGGCTGCAGGGACTGTGTTAGGCTCCCAGTTTCAGTTTATGAATTCAGAGGGGAAATGGAGAGGCACTTTGAAACATTCTCTCTTGGACAACCATGCTATTTTTTTGTTTGTTTTTGTTGAGTCAGGGTCTCACTCTGTCTCCCAGGCTGGAGTTGACTGGCGCAGTCTCAGCTCACTGCAATCTCCGCTTCCTAGGTTCATGCAATTCTCCTGCCTCAACCAACAAGTAGCTGGAACTACAGGCGCGCGCCACCACACCCAGCTAATTTTTGTTATTTTTAGTAGAGATGGGGCTTTGTCATGTTGGCCAGTCTGGTCTCAAACTCCTGCCCTCAAGTGATCTGCTGGCCTCGGCCTCCCAAAATGCTGGGACTACAGGTGTGAGCCACTGTGCCTGGCCCCATGCAGTCTTTTAATTGGCCTTCAAATCCACACTCTCCCCTCCATCGTACATGCTACCTTTGGAGTCATCACTTTAGAATCCATCTGAAATTTTTGTCACAGTCCTGCTCAAAACTTCCAGTACTCCACTCCCAAGTCTAAATTCCTTAAGCCAGATCTAAGGTTCTTGATGATATCTATGGCCCTACCCTATCTAAATCAACCTCACAGTACCCCTGAAAGTTCTCCCAGAAGAGTGCCACTGTTGCCCCCATGCTCATCCAGCTCCAGGCACTTGGATTTGCTGTGATTTGGCCTAGAGGCCCTTTCTTTCTGATCTACGTTCTATTCATCCTCAAGACCATATAGTAAGGGAATTTATTCTTATTTTTTTTTTTACTAAAAATGTAACAAAAATGTTCAGATAGAGTTGAGAGAAAAAAGCCCTCATTAAATTATGTTAACATTTACTGAGTACTTGTTAAATTATCACATGAATTCCTGGAACAACCAGGATAAACAAACTCATTCTTGATTGGCAACCTGGATCTCAGAACTTCCTGTCCTGTATAAGTGGGGCCACGGCCAAGCTGCTGTGTTTTCTCTCAGCTGAGAGGTCAAAGAAATTAGTTCCTCCCACCCCCATTGAATGGGGCAACTAGTCGGTGCAGAGCCCACTACAGGCTTTAGAACAGACTTTGATGTTTTGGATAACACATAGAAAATCTTTTCATCTGGGACTCTAGAAACTTGGATTCCAGTTCTGGCCCTATTACCTCCTAGTAAGCGTTTTAGGCAAGTGCTGTCACCTTACTGGCTTTTGTTTTTTGATCTGGAAAGTGAGAAGTTGAACTGGTTGAATTGAAGGCCACTTTTCTTTCAGGTTCCATCATTCAGTAATTATGGGCTGGGCATGGTGGCTCATGTCTGTAATACCAGCACTTTGAGAGGCTGAGGCGGGCGAATTGCCTGAGCTCAGGAGTTCGCGACCAGCCTGGGCAACACGGTGAAACCCTGTCTCTAGTAAAACACAAGAAATTAGCCAGGTGTGGCATCATGCGCCTGTAATCCCAGCTATTCGGGAGGCTGAGGCAGGAGAATTGCTTGAACCCAGGAGGCAGAGGTTGCAGTGAGCCGAGATCACACCACTGCATTCCAGCCTGGGCAACAGAGTGAGACTCCATCTCAAAACAACAACAACAACAACAACAAAAATGGTAATTAGAATCAAGGTTAGGGCATGTAGCTCAGGGTATGGTAGGGTATGAGCAAATTCCTATCAGACAGCAATTCCAGAATACTAGTTTCAAGGTGTAAGTTTTTGGAGGTGGTCTAAATTCCAATTTTGATTGTGACTGTATGCCCTTGAATGAGGCCACTTGTTTATGACTCCATCTGCCTCACTTGCAAGAGGAGACAGTATCAGTTGCAATCAATGAACCTAGCCAAAAAGGCTAAGTATAAATATCTGCTGAGTGCTTCAACATTCTTAGGGGAAAGAGATAAAGTTTTAATGATGTACTTTCCCACTGTACTTGCAGCCAAGTTGAATTTTGTAATATTCTTCCTGGTTTTAATCTTTAAAAGATGTAAATATTTTCATCATGGTATCCAAATATAGAACTCAGTTTCTTTGTTTCCCACAATTAAATATAATAATCAGAAAGGAAAATAGATGATTAACAGAAATGTAAATGGTAAGTTATTTAGTCCCCTCTCACCAAGACCAGTCTGAATCCTCTATTGTGAGAAGCCAGTCCATCACTAATGGGTCAATTACCTTGATTGACTCAGTGTTAGGACTTGCCATGAGTTCAGGACTTTCTATAACACTTCTGTGTTCTTTGTGACTCTAGGTGTACGCTGCTGGGATTATTTGGTGGGCTTTGTGGAGAGTCAAGGCCAGGATGAAATCAGATGGGGACATTATTATGACAATGTTTATTGTCTGTGACTTTGCTGGTATACTTGTTTCCTGCAACATTATTGGTCTTTAGCTGATTGGTGATAATTATCTGTAGTAGATCCATTCCTGATTTTTACAACTGACTCTCTGAGGTGGCAGTTCGCAAGCTTTTTGGCACCAGGGACCAATTTTGTGGAAGAAAATTTTTCCATGGGACAGGGTAGGGAGGATGGTTTCAGGATGAAACTGTTCCACCTGAGATCATCAGGCATTAGATTCTCATAAGGAGCATGCAGCCTAAATCCCTCGCGTGTGCAGTTCACAGTAGGGTTGGTGCTCACATTAGAATCTAATGCCCTGCTGATCTGACAGGAGACGGAGCTCAAGTGATAATGCTCATTGGCCCACCGCTCATCTCCTGCTGTGTGGTCCAGTTCCCAACAGGCCACAAACTGGCCTGGTGTTTGGGGACCCCTGTTCTAAGGCACCATATCATGAAGGAAAGTAAGACATCTGCATGCTCTAGGGAAAAATGTAGATGATTCCTAAGCTCTGTAGTAAGCAAAACTAAATACTAATTAGGATTTATATTCTAAAGAATGGAGTGAGAAAATAGATGTAATAGTATTGTAATTTTTTTCTTTAAAAATTACTACTCTAAATGAAAACATATGACTTTGAACCATTCTTTTTCTTTCTTTTTTTTTTAAATGGAGTCTTACTCTGTCACCCAGGCTGGAGTGCAGTGGCATGATCTTGGCTCACTGCAACCTCCACCTCCCGGGTTCAAGTGATTCTTGTGCCTCAGCCTCCCGAGTAGCTGGGATTACAGGCATCCACCACCACGCCCGATTAATTTTTGTATTTTTAGTAGAGACGGGGTTTCACCGTGTTGGCCAGGCTGGTGTTGAACTCCTGACCTCAGGTGATTCACCCGCGTTGGCCTCCCAAAATGCTGGGATTACAGGTGTGAGCAACCACACCTGGTCTGAACCATTTTTTAAAAAAAGGAATCTAAGCTGTTTATTTAAGAAGTGAAGCCAGAAGTCTACATTCCATTGTCTACCCCTTTCATGACTTTCTAGCCATTAGCTTCAACTCCTAAATATCCTTACCCTAGATCAAACCAAATGTTTACATTTTCTATGCTTAACCCAGGTAACAGAGACCTGCTAGAACATTATTCAACTCTGTGTATTGGGGCCACCACAAATTCAAGATCTCGTTCACTTAATTAAAAAAAAAAAAAAAATTAACACTCTAGGTACCAGGCACCATGTAAGGGAAAGGGTATAAACGGTGAACAAAACTGTCAGGGTCTTTGCCCACAGGGAGCTTAGATTCTGAAAGGGAACAGAGGTGGCAATTAACTGAATGTTTGTATCAGAGAGATCCCTCACTCCTCTGCGCTGTGGGGTTACAGTGAGAAGACAGCTGTCTGTGAACCAGGAAGTGAGTCCTCAGACAACAGATTGGCTGGAGGTTTGATGTTGGACTTGTCAACCTCCAGAACTGCAAAAAATTTCTGTTACTTATTTCTATTATTTATGAGCACCCACTTGATGATAGTTTATGATAGCAGCCCAAACGGATTAAGACAGAGATAAGGAACAAGGGAAAGCAAATCAGGTGATTCTGTGTAGCGTGTGTCTTTCATCTTCAACCCGTAGGTCTGGCATAGTGTTTCACATTTAGTACGTCATCAGACAGGAAGTCAATCAAAAAAATATTGATTCAATAATAATAAAAAGTAAATATTTATTCAGTATGCACTATTTACCAGGCTTTATTTTAGGCTCTGAATATTTATCAGTGAAGGAGGCAGACAAGGAAGACTTTGCTCTCTTAGAACTTAAATACTGTAGCAAAGAGAGATGGGGAGTAAAGATGTCTGAAAAAAGAAATAAACATAATTCCATATAATAATAAGTAACATGAAATAAATAGAAGAAAATGGAAATTGGGGACGTTTTCAACAGGTTACTTTGTGGAGATGTCACTCGTGCTAAGACCAGGCAGAAGGCATCTGCAAATATTGTGAAGAACAATCTATGCAGAGGAAATAGCAAGTACAGTGTCCTGGCGGTGGGGAGACTGGTGTGTTCAGTGAAAAGCAGGTAGTGTGACTGCAGCATGAGTGAGGAGGATGAGAGATGAAGATGTGGTCGGAGAGGAAGGAGGCATAAGACTATGCTGGGTCGTTAGGCCATTGTAAAGTATTTGGCTTCTTATTGTGCCAAGAATAAACATTCCAGGTTTTAAGCAGTCCAAGTGAGAAATGATGTGGGCCTAAATCTAGGGTTTCAAACATTTTGTTCCATAATCCAAAGGAGGAAACATATTTTGTGTGGTGACTCCACCCATAAATATATATACATAAGCAAAAATTTAATGAGACAATACCCTTACCGTGAATGACGCCCTCTGAATTTTTCTGTTCTCTTTCACTGTAAAAGAAAGAAATGCTGGTTGTCACCCACAAAACTGATTTGATAACTCAGCAATGAGTGGCAATTTACAGTTTGTAAAACATTGGTTCACACTGAAGTGGTGACAGTAGAGATGAAGGGAAATGGGTGGATTCAGGATATATTTTACAGGTAGAGTTGACAGTAGTTATTGATGAACTGCTTACAGGAAAGTGAGGGAAAAGGCTTGATAAATGATGACTTTTTTATGATTTTGGCTTGAATAGATGGGAGAATGGTGATCCTAAGATAGGGAAAACTAAGGAAGAAGCAGGTTTGAAGGAAGAGATGGAGGAGAAATCAAGAAATCTTTTCTAAACACTTTTTAAAAATCTGATTATATATGTTATTATGCATACAGATTTGTAATATTAATTGCTCAAATTACAAGCCAACTATAAAAAACCTTTTTATATAGACTCTTAAATACATCTTAAACGTTATTTTTATTTTCATCATAGAGATACAAATTGCCTCCTGGAATAAAAGAGAAAGAAATGTGATCCATGGTCTTGCCACACAAATATGATAATGCTTAGTTGTTTGATGTCTTCTTAATGTAACTTTTTCTATGCATAATTCTTTAATCATTACCTAAGCATTTATAAAACTAACTCATTAGGACTGGGATCATATAAACACTGTCCTAGTCTGTTTGTTTGGACTTCTATAACAAAATAACTTTCTACTGAGTAGTTTATAAACCACAGAAATTTACTTCTCACAGTTCTGGAGGTTGGGAAGTCCAAGATTACGGACTGGCAGATTCACTGTCTGGTGAAGACCTGCTTCCAGGTTTCATATCCTGGTTTATTAAAGATATCTTCTTATTGCATCCTCATATGGCAGAAGGGGTGGATGAACCTCCTTGGGCCTATTTGATAAGAGCAGTAATCTTATTCATGAGGTCTTCTCCCTCATCACTTCCCAAAGGCCCTATTTCTTAATCCCATCCTACCGACCTCGTAGGGTAGAATTTCAACATATGAATTTTTTGGGGGGACACTGACATTCAGACCGTAGCAAGCAGTTTACAGATGATCGGATCTGGAGATAGTGAAGTTAATAATCATTGATGCTTAATAGGTAACTTAATTTTTTAAATAATAAAGTGATTTTAATGGGGAACTGAATAATTTAATCAAATGTTTTTCAAACTTTAAAAATCCATGCAAATAACATCAACATTTCCAACCAGTTTTGGATATGTGCCCATACTTGTACATATGAACACCATATACAGTCCTTCAACATCCATCCTTATCCCCACTGAGAATCATGAATACATTTTTTTTTTCATTTTTCAAATATATAAAAAATGATGAAATATGCCTGTACAAACTACATGTCCCCTTTCTGGTCCCTTTCACGCTTCTTCTGATGCATCTTTTTACAGCCTACTCCATGATCTCATTCCTTGATGACCAGTGATTTCATCAAGCCCGGCTGGCCTTTACTTTTACATATAGCGAAGCTTATTTCACAGTTCTGAGAAGAGTGTTAGAGACTGTGTGTGTACTAATCTGAAATCCACATAACCAGTTTCTTTTTATATTTCAATGCTTATTGGGCACTTTGTATGAAGTATTGTTGTAGGTTTTATATAAATAAATATGAGAAAGAACATGAGGCCTGCCCTCAAGGAGTTTATAATCTAGGCTTGTTGCCAAGCAACTTTAAAAAGATAACCTTTTTATTTTAGAGCAGTTTTAAAGTTACAGAAAAATTGTGAAGCTAGTGCAGAGTGCCAGTATACCCCATATACCCTCAGTTTCTCCTTTGGTTAACATCTTAGGTTTGTTTGGTGTATAACTTTATAGTCAGTTTAAATCATACAACCTACAGAATTTTGAATTCTGACCTTTTCACTTTACAATGTATCATAAGCATTGTTTCCATTTAAAATGAATATTAATGCTAGCCAGATACTCTAGATATTACCTTTGCCAGCCACCTCATTTTTCAGATGAGGAAACTGAGGCACAGAGAGGTCTTAAGTGTTTTGGTTAAAACCAGAATATGGAATAAAACCGTACTTGCAGGCAGCTGTCTCCACTTCTTCTCCACTCAACCAACCAACATTTACTGGGTACACACTGAGGATCAGCGATTGTGCTGGTGGTAGGGAAACAGCATGGAGCTGGCCAGTCCCCCTCCTCAAGGAGCTTCATTGTAAATGTCTGGGAGGTGAGATCACAAGACAAAAGGACATTGAGTTACCGTTTTACTGTGGTGAGGTGTCAAGGGCAGAGTGTACTGGGGAACGGGAGTGGAATAATTTCAGAGGGTTGGAGTGGTGGACTGAATAATAGCCCCCAAAGATGTCCATGTCCTAATCCCTGGAATCTGTGAATATGTTACTTTACGTGGCAAAAAGGACCCTGAAGATGTGATTAAGGATCTTCATGATCTTGGACTATCCAGGATGACCCAGTGTAATCACAAGAGTCCTTATAAGGGAAGGAGGGAGGCCGGAGAGTCAGAGGAGATGTGGCTGGAGATGCAGCTGTCAGTTTGATGGGATTGTTGGCTGGAGGCCAGGCCAGGGAACAAGAAACGTGGGCAGCCTCTACAGGCTGGGAAAGGCAAGACACAGATTCTCTGCGAGAGCTTCGAGAAGGAATGCAGCCCTGCCAGCGCTTTGATTTTGGTCCATAAGACCCATTCTGGACCTCAGACCTCCAGAACGATGAGAGAACCAATTTGTGTTGTTTGAAGCCACTAAATTTGTGGTAATTTGTTACAGCAGAAATAGGAAACTAGTGAGCTGGCTCTGTAGAGACTACTTTTTATGAAAAGAAAGACATGGTATTTAGATATTGTAGGAGTATAGAATGTTAGACTTAAAGGTTCATCTCTGCTCTATCTAATCCAATAGCTTCATTTTTTTAGTTGAAATTAATGATGAAAAAAGTATCTGCCAAACTTTTTCTTATTTAAACTGATTAGGTTACTTTTGTTTTGAAACTATATATGTAGCAGCATGATTCATGATAGCCCCAAACTGGAAACAGCCCAAATATCATCAATAATGGAGTAGAAAAAGAAATTGTTATATATTTCTTCAATATTACATAGCAACGAGAATGTATGAACTACAGTTACATGCAGTAATGTTGATGAATTGCTTGAACTCATGTCATTGTTGCTGGAAAGAAGCTGGATACAAAAGAGTTAATACCATATGATTCCATTTACATAAAGTTCAAAAATAGGCAAAACTAATCTATGATATTAAAAGTTACCTTGGATAGGGGTGGAGGCTAAGTAAGGACTGGGAGAGGGCAGAACGGAGACCTTTGGGACACTGGCAATGTTGTGTTTCTTGATCTGTGCTGGATATATGGGTGGGTTCACTTTGTGAAAATTCATATTAATTGTACAAACTTCTGCATGTTATATAATAATAAAAAGGTGACTTAAAATAAAACTATATGAATGTGTATGATCTGAATGGTGGTTCTAACAATAGCTTGACCTAAAGAATATGAACTTTTAGAAGGAAAGCAATGAGCAAAATCCCCTGCTGGGTCCACTGCCCAAAAGGAGAGCCAACAATCCTCCGTGACTTTAGAATATTGACTATAAAATTTTGTCCTAAAATACATTTGAAACACTTGCTTTATGTGTCGACTTATTAACCTCTCTGCCTCCAGGACACATTATTTTTCAAGCTGGTGTTTAAAAATATTTAATTGTGGGTAAGTAATCTAGGTTGGAAAGGAAGTCTTTATAAGTTAAGGATAAATAACAGTTGCCTAGTGATGATCCTGTGGAAGAACAAGGCTTTCTGGTGTGTTTGGAATGGTCTCTACTAAGGGGACTCTTTATTTTAAGCAGGATGCAAGTGGAAAGCTAAGCCCAAAGCCTAACTAATGAGACCCTTCACACCAAATATTGTGGCAGGGTAATTTGTACAAAGCAGATGAATTCATTTTTAGAATGCTGAACAATTTATATATTAAAAAGTGTCTAGATTAAGATTAAATACATAATATGTATTTAAATAAAAATATTCAACAGTTTCAATGAAAAATAGAATTTTCTATGACAAATATGTTCTATAAGCTGTTCAGTCCTCACATAATTTTTGATTTCTTGCAAGTAATAATGAGTAGATAATAGTTGAATAACTTGGAGAAATTCTTGCTCTTCAGCAAACATTAAGGAGAACTTCAATTAAATTTAAGGAAGTTCTCTACCCTTCCAGGTTTGTGCTCTTTGTTTATTGTGTTTTTGAGGCCACAAGTGTGTGAGCACTACAAACATTCACTTATATTTGCTAATAAGGATAAGGGCCAACCCAGTACTTAGAATTCCCAAAGTACTTACATCAACCAGATTATTTCTTCACAAGGTTCATTATCACATATAATTCTGACCTCTAGTTTTTCTTTAAGCTTACCTAAGGTTGAAAAAGTTTTGGAGGATTCTTAAATTTTTTTTTTTTACAACTTTGAGGGAGCTCAAATTATAAAGTTGGATATTGACTTAACACAGTTTGATTTTTAACAACTTATTTCCTACCAAATAAAATGAATTAAAGTTAGCACTCAGCTCTGGTAGAGAATATTAAAAACAACAACAATGATAACAGAAACACCCTGAAAACATAAATAAAAGGAAAACAATAATGTAAACACTGCAGTGCTGAGTAGCTAGTCAAGAGAAAATATGAATGCTCTTATCTTTAGGTCAAAGCTGACAGGATTTTTATGTCAACTTAAGTAATAAAAGAAAGAATAATTTTATATGCTACTTTATCCATACTAGTACTTAGGTTACAAAATTGGTTGGGAGAAATTTTGGGACAATGATATATTGAAGAACAAATGAATAGAAAAGGAACATATCATGTACTACATAAAATTTTTAAATTTTTATTTTAAAATATTTTCTGGTTTATGAAGTCTCAGACTACTTGCTAAAATCAGTACTTATTTACTAAAATAATAACACTTAAAATACTTATTTACAAC